TACTTTGTCATAGAGGAAAATTTCACTTTTAACCCTATTCCACTAAATTCTCTTCCCATAGGTTTCAGAATTAATGAACTTATGATGTACCATCATAAATTAATGCACTTCTGATAAGCCATTATGATGCACAATTCAGGATAAGCCATTATGATGCACAATTCACTGTCACAGCATTGTCCCCCAACCAACCTGTTAGGTCTACCACCACAGATCTTTCCTTCTCTGACCTGGTTACCACAGAAGATGAACTCATTTCTGAGGCCTCACCACCTGCCCCCTGGACCTCATACCCTCACAACTACTACACACCCCCCTCCTCGCTCTGTTCTACACTATCTCACTACACTACTCCAACTCACATTTTCAATCTCTCCCTCTCCTCTGGCATGTTTCCCTCTCTTCTCAAACATACACTGGTTATCCAGCAGTTTGAACAACAAAAGACGTAACTCTCTGCTCTTATTTTCCTCCAATTTTCTGGCTTCAAGCTGCAACATTCCACTGAAAATTCCCTACTAAAACTCGCTGAAATATCACTAACTGATAAAACCAATAGCCACTATTCCATACTCATGCTCTTAGACCTTTCAGCTGCCTTTGATACAGTTGAGCACCCACTTCTCAAAAAACCTCACTCCTTAGGTCTCTGATCTTTAATGCTTTTTCTCCCACCTATCTTGTCACACACTAAATGTCACCCATAACTCTATCTCCTCCTTTCCTCTTCATCTTTCTGTTGGGTATCCCCAAGGCTCTGTCTTCTGACCTCTTCTTTTCTCTCTCTACACCTCTTCCCTGGATCAGTTGATAACCTCCCATGGCTACCAATACCACCTGTATGGCAATAAAATCTATCTCTCTGCTCCACAGATCACCCCCTCAAACTCATCATATATCACTCATTTGATGAGTGACATATCAGTATGGATGTCACAGCGCTTCCTCAAACTCAATCTGTTTAAAACTAAGCTTGTAATATTACCTCCCCCCCACCCGACTTTATCATTGAGATCCACAGCATACCTATCAGTCCCTCCACGCATGTCAGGGTGCTAGAGTAATGTAAAACTCTCCATCGGGTCCTACATCCTATCTCTGGCTAAATCTTAACTTCTGTAACATTTCCAAAATCTGCACCTTCTTAACTAATAGCAACACAAAACAACTACTAATTCACTCCCTGGTTATCTCCTTCCTTGATTACTGCAACTCCCTCCTCACTGGCCTACCTCTACATAGGCTATACCCTCTTCAGTCTATTATGAATGCAGATACTAAACTCATCAACCTTAGTAACCACTTTGTGGCTGCCACCCCTCTTTGTTAATTCTTCTGACTTTCACTAGCCCAATGCATAAAAGTCAAAATATTAAAATACACCAAAGCACAGATATATCTTATTTCTGTAACATATTAGGTCAGTAGCCAGACCTAAACCTAGTAGCTCTCCCTCTCTTTGTGTCTGTTTGTCCCAGGTTGGCATTGTGTCCACAGTAGCATTTGCATTGGTAAAGCAGAGTAGGACTGGCCATAGAGGGATTACTTGGACGCAGTTGGCCAGCTTTAGCATGTATTGCAATATGTGTGAACTAAAAATCCCTATTTTTATTGCAATGTTTTGCTAGAAAGGGTAGTTAGCAGTGTGCAGAGTGTTCCTCTGGGATTTCTAGTATTGATATGTGGCAACACCCCTTTAGCACCTGATAGATAAATGCATGTACAAGCTATTGGGATTTGAGCACAGATATATCTTGTTTCTGTTGCATAGTAGGTCAGTAGCTAGACCTAAACCTAGTAGCTCTCCCCCACTTTGTGTCTGTTTGCCCCAGGTTGGCATTGTGTCCACAGTAACATTTGTGTTGGCAGATCAGAATAGGACTGGCTATTCGAGGGATTACTTTGATGCAGTTGGCCAGCATAAACATGTGTTGCAATATGTGTGAATTCCTATTTTTATTGCAACGTTTGCTGAAAAGGTTAATTAGCAATGTGCAGAGGTTTCCTCCAGGACTTCTCCCAAGCTAGCCTCCAGGACTTCTCCAGAGCCTCTCCCATCCTCTGGAATTTCCTGCCCCCAGATGTTAGGTTATCTTCTACTCTGTCTGCCTATAAGCAATCCCTGAAAACTCATCTATTCAGGGAAGCCAGCCCACCTCTACCTAAAAACTGTACTTTGACCATCTGCTCATCCCCCACAGCTATCTCCTTTTGTACCACTGCACTGTCCCTTTTAAATTGTAAGGACTCTCCTAATACTCTAGTAATGAATTGATACTGTGTGCATGGAAGTTCCTATTTAACATATCTCAAGAATATCTGAGCTTAGATTAATGATCCTAACAGCTCTCAATGACATGTTCCATAGACTCATTGATGTTGATTTACTAAAACTGTAGAGTGCAAAAAGTGGTGCAGCTGTGCTTGGTAGCCAATCAACATCTAACTTCAGCTTGTTCAAGTAATCTTTGACAAAAACAAAACCTGAAAGCTGATTGGTTTCTATGCAGAGCTGCCCTAGATTTTCTACTCTCCAGTTTTAGTAAATCAACTCCATAGACTTGAAGTTAGACTTTGCTACACTAAGGCTCAGTTCACACTAGCTTTGTCAGCAGGCATCAGACAGGCATTTGGGAAGCGTTTTTAATGCTTCTCAAATGCCTATGAAAATTCTGCACATGGCAGCACACAGTGCTGTTCACACTGAAGCATTAGCGTTGCGTCGCGGCAAAACTGACGCCTCGTGTTGAGTCAGGAGGAGTTGAAGCCTCCCATTCAAGTCTATGATGCCGCTCTGTAAATGCCTGGCAGGTATTTGCGGTGCAGTTGCGACGTGGTTGCGAGGCAGTTGCGGAGTGTTAATACTATTTAACTTCATTATAGGCGTTTGTTGTGTGGTTTTTAACGCTTGGCAAATGCCTATCAACCGCCTCAAAACCGCGCATAGGGCGTTTGGGGAGTGTTTGGGTAGCGATTGAGGAGCAATAAAAAAGCTTCCCAAATGCCTGTCTAATGCCTGTCAAACGCTATAGGGGCGTTTGGCAAGAGTTAGAAATAAAGTCAAGTGTGAACGAGCCCTTAGATATCTAATCGTCCCTTCCTACAAAGCAGTAAGGTGTCACTTTACCATGGCTGGATAAAAAAAGTGTTTATTTAGCATTCTGAAACCTCCATCAAGTGTATCAGTTTTATGACTGCCAATGGTGTTACTAACTGGAGCTGGCCCTAAAAATGAACAGTGATACCCAAGACCAATAGGAGGGGTTCCAGATCATCTGGTACTGTGATTAGTTGTGCAGTGATGATGAAATTAAGAACCCATCCAAATGGCTCATGATCATTGTCGGTTGACCATAAGCTAAAGGTTACAGTTACAGTTTTGGGGGGCAACAATTCAGCATGTGGGCATTAAGACCCATCTGCCATGCTGCTGCATAAATACTGTACATTAGGCTGTCACAAACCGGTTAGGAACTGAAAACTCTGTTAGTGAGATCCTGCCACCAGGGTATCTGACCGATGTTAGAAATCAGAGTGGTATTCAAAATTGTGGAGGCTCAATTGATTAGAACCATCTCACATTCAGCTGCAAGAGTCAATGAATATATACTTAGCAGCTGCACAGAAACTCACAGGATACCTGACAAACCCGTTAGAAAAAATTATTGTAATTCAACTAGAGGCAAACTGCCAACTGATTTTGGGCACCCAATGGATGTCCTTAAAGTGTTACTAAACCCACAACAGTAAAATCAGTCTGTATATGCAGGAAAGCATTCTTGTTATACTCACTGTGGAACCTAAGGGGTCAATCCTCTGCATTATGTAAGAAGGATGTTTGATCCTGACTTTTCTGATCCTTCCCTTCTTACAGTGTCCCCTTCTCATCTCATGATAAGGCATATCATGTGGAGACACTCTGCACATGCTCAGTTTGGTGTGTATTGCTAGAGAGGGTTTTCTTTTTTTAGGAGAGTGCATCTGATCAGCACAGGGCCAATCAGCACTGTCTAGACAGAGGTCAAGGGTTCTGCATCCTCCTAGAGCAAAATGAAAACTCCTCCTACAAGCTTTTACCAGTGTTCTACTGGACACTGATAGAAGTCACAAGACTGCTCTAACTGCTGATGAGAAAAGGTATTTAGCAGTTTATATTTACTAAAATAATTGCACTTCCATGTTCTCTGTACTGTGGCAGACCAGATATAGTGAATGCAGGGTCCTGCATTTAGTAACACTTTAATAAATAAAATTAAATCTTTAGCCACATTTTAGATTGTTATTTATTACCTCTTAATATTTTAAACTACTTTTTGTATTTTGCCTTCCTTGCTTACTATTATTTCCTTTCTGTGTCCATCTGTTCTGTCTACTAAAGTACAACATCCACTGATAGATAATTGCCAATACATTTGTAACATGGCATACACTAGATGTAATGGGATGTTGGTTGTCAATGGAGGTTTAACCTCCCTAGCGGTCTGATTATGTCCATATTTCTGTGCTCAAAGCGGTACTTTTTTTTGCCTGGAAATATATATTTTTTTTATTGTAGGCCTGTAATTTTTAGGAATAACTCACTGAAATCTGTCTGAACAAGAGTCAAGTAAACATCCCGGGTATGATAAAATTTGAAACACGAAATCATAAATTATAATTTAATAAATAATCATAAAAAAAATAATAATATAATAATAATAAATGTAATTCAATAATATAATCAAACCAAAAACACTGAAATTTGAAATATAGCGCCAAGTTCGCACATCACTGAGCAAAGTCGCAAAATCGTTTTCAGTGTCTGATGATGAATTTCCCAACGAATCATTATCACTCAATTCTTCAAGTGGTTCTAATTTACTATCGCTGTTCTCTAGCCGGTCTAAAACCACCTTTGACCTAAAGGGACGCTTTTTGGACGCCATGGACGTTTTTCAGTTTCCAGGCAGAAAGAACAGTAAAAATGTAGGCAGGGCACAGGACAAAGCACTCGGGACAAAATGTATGTGAAATGCTTTGATACAGTAATGTAATACTATGTGATTTTAGTGTATTTAGTGAATGTCACTTTTTGTCATTTTCAAATTTTCCACCGTTCCGTCCCCCATACATCCCAACGTCGCAGGGGACAGAACCCAGAAGACAGGTGCCGACATCCGCTGGAGGACATTACAGGGGACACTGCAGGAGGGAACATCGTGGGAGCGCAGGACAAGGTAAGAGAAGAACAGATCCCAGAGCAGCGCTGCATCGTAAGCCCGAGTGTAGCTCGGGATTACCGCTTGTGGTACTGAAACTTTACCCCGAGCTACACTCAGGAATACTGCCAGGGAGGCTACGGAAGATGCCCAAAAGACAGGCTCTAAGATTGGTTTCCAACTTCAAAAGTGGATAAAGACCTCCAAACCGATCTGGAAGCATGCATCGCAAAGGCAAAGTATTTTTTTTATAACCAACTTTTCTAGGTGCAGTCTTACTCCAACTTTTAAAGAATCCTCTTTTAGGATTAATTGGGCCTACCTTTCCCAACAGTTTGTAAGGTAGCAGCCCATTATTTGGGAATCAAATAATGATCCTTAGTAGATTAATCATTTATGTTACCTTTATGTACTGACAGGCTGATCCTCCTGCTCCTGACAGATAGGTTCCCTTGGCTTGGCCAGTACCACTTAGCATTTTATCATGTATCTCACTTTTCCCAGGTGAGCATCCCCAACAGCATTTTACCCTATTTTTTTTTTAGAAAGGTCACAAGTCCTGCTGGTCCCTGAAGTGCATCTCTAAACCATGCTTAAAAAGATGTGTTCTAGCAGAGGATGTCGTTTCGTGATTCCATAGCTACCTTTCTGCATGACACACCACTCTTCTATGTCCCTGCAATTCCATGTCTAACACACATTTTCAAGTTTCTCCCATGAGACTCTTGCAGCAGAACCTGATATGAGAGAATAAAATGCCATAAGTAAAATACTCCCTTACCTGTCAGTCACATACACTTGTAAAGAGGTTCTTTCAACTCTCCTTTCACCATTTCAGCAAAAGTATGCCTAACTAGATTGAAAAGCAACTTTCACTTAAAATAATTATGCAGATGGAAAGCAAAATATACTGTCATTTAAGGGAAGGTCTGCACTAAATAGAAGGCATGGAGCCTTCAGCACAACAACAGATTAGGTAAAAGGTTTTTTAAACAGTGTTAAATGGCTAATAAAGGATTTGAAAGCCAGTAAACACAATTTTCCTACTACTCTAATCAGTGAATTTAAACTTGTATTTGCAAAATTCACTCATCTTTGAACTCCGTCTAATGAACAAAATATGATTAGCGAATATGCCAGTAGACTTATTCTCTAATCTCAACAACAGACATTACAGAATTCACTAGTGTTTCTGTAGGCAATTACCTACTGTTAGTGAAATCCACTATCCTAAAACGATATCTTTGCGCCTATCCATTCAAACAAACTGAGAATTAAATTAAAATTACTATTCATTACCTTTTGAAATTCTTAATTCATCCCACCCCATTTCCTCATACACAGATGTACTGTATAATAGCTTTTCAAATTCCACCTCTTTAAAATTACCTAAACCATCTTTAAACCCCAATTTTTTATCACTAAGCGACCAATTTATATCACCTGTAGCCACTACGATCTCCATATGTTATTGTGGATATATTTTCCCCTCCTCTTAGGTTGAAAGCCAGAACATTTGTTTGCTGCTTAATGGACTTTTTCCTCTGCAGTCTGTTAATTTTAGGTTTTTACCATGATATAATATTTTAGCACAATACAAAATGCAACTATGATCACGGGAAACTTCCATTATATTGGAAATAATTGAGCTCTTCTTCTCTACTGGGCCTTTTCTAGAAAGACAATGTAATTATGGGTCTCCTTAGTGTGATCACTCTCTTTGGGGGGAGCACAAGGACTGTTTCCTGATGGGGGTAAGACTGTTCGTATTCCTTGATGTGAGGAATGCCAGGACATTGTATGACCAGTGGTCTGGGCAGAGGTCTCTCTCTTGCTAATTCCTCTAAATTTGTTTGCAACTTGTTTCACTAAGCTTGTGAGTAAAACTGGCACCTAATTAAAGGAATCTAGTGTTAATTCTGCTCCATTGAGTATTCATTTGGTCATGAACTTGTGTCACATAGACTTGTGTCTGGGTCAGAGCGAGGGAACAATCTAGCTCTGAGTCAAGCCAGGCTGGGCCTCTCCCACGACTTCCAGGGATGAAGTTTGTGTATTGCCACCATTCTATTCTTAGGTTTAGACATACTTTAACCTTTATAAGCATGATCCAAGAATATTTTTGATTCGCAAAGTACAGTACAGCACACATGTGTTGTGTCTTAATGTGATATTAAAGGCAAGTTTAAAAAATGGCATATATGACGCAGGCTGTCATTAACAGTCTTTGTTTTTCTGTGTTCCCTACCCACCCAAACATCCTCTTTTCTTAATCATACAGTACAAGACACAGAATCTTAGTCTTAACCACTGGACATCCAAATCAGTCAAAATAAGGAGTGGACCACACAGCAAACAAACACTGACAGACCCATATAACAATGGGCCAAGAAATGGCTAGACAGAACTCAGAGAGCAGCTTGCAGTACCTTACATCCAAAACTGGCATCAGAGGATCCTTAAACATCCACCTGGTAAAACTTAACAAATATGTGAGCAGAAGACCAGGTGGCAGCCTTGAATATTTATAAAATAGATGCTTGCTGCTCAAGAGCCTAAGAAGCACTAACGGATCTGGTAGAGTGCAACATAACAGGGAAGGAACAAACTCTATCCTTTAGACCAGGGGTCACATAGACTCAAATTATGACATGTGTAATTCACACCACGCAATGTTGGAGTGAGAAGCAGGGAGTCCCCTAAAAGAGATTTTGGAATGTAAAAAGAGGGAATCCACATGTCTAAAAGAGGCTGTAGCTGAGAGGTGGACTCTCAAGGCATGTGCCAGATAGAGAACAGGGGCATGGAGGGGGGAACAACATCCTAGTTAAGATGGAAAGAACCACTATGTTGAGAAAGGAGGCTATGGGTCTCAGGACAACCTTGTCTTTGTGAAGCACTAGGAAAGGCTCTGTACAAGATAAGGCCACTACCTCAGGTTCATGCAATGCAGTGGTGATAGCAAACAGAAAGGCCACCTTGTAAATGCAATCAGAAAAACAATATTCTGAATGAGTGTCAAGGGTGGCCTCTGAAGAGCTGAAAGAACCAGGTTCATTTACATGGAGTCACAGGGGACTGTTTAGGGAAAGTAATGTGCAAAAAGGACTTAACTTGGAAATGAGAGGCCAATGGCCTCTAAAACAGAATTACTAGGGCTGGGAATTGCCCCTTGATACTCAAGGTCAGATGATGGTCCATAACAGACTGGAGGAATGGCATAATGTGTTTCATGGAATACTTCACCACCTGGAATTTTTAGCATTGCACCATGCAAATAAACCTTCCATAAGGTGATGGTAGACTTTGTAAGGAAGACAATTTCCTAGCCTTTAGGAGCTCAGGGGTGATTAAATATGATAGGTTCTTTTTCCTTATAACCGGGCTTCAAAAGCAATGTTGACAAAGCCAGTGACCATGCAGTAGGATTGTGAACCAGGCCTTAGGAAAGAAGGCCTAGACAATCTGGAAGAGCCCACAGAGGGTATGCTGAGAGTCTGAGTATGTCAAAGGCCTCCTAGACCAGTTCTGTGTAGTGAGAATCACCAGAATATTATTCATCTCATTCCTGCAGAGCAGATGAGGGAGTAGTTACAGAGAAGAAAAAGCATAGATTAGGTTTAACTGATCCCATGGAGTTACCAAGGCATCCACTGTAAAGGACCAAGGCAACCTGGTGCCCCCTATTTGTGGCAAGGTGTTTGGAGCACCTCCAGTGAAGAGCTATACCCCTGGATCCAGATGTTAACAGTTGAGAAAATCTTCCTTGCAGTTTTCTACTCTTGGGATGTGGACTGCATTCAGACTGCATACAGTTCCACCCAGGTGAGAATCAAATCTGCTTCTCATTGAATGGTCAATTCTGCTTCTCTTTGATGGTCAATGTAAGCCACTGTTGTGGCATTGTCCAGCATTGAAGGGACCACCGAATTTCCCAGAGTTCCATATTAGACAAATGAGTGTAGCGCTATAAATCCTACCTGTCTACAAAAACTCTAGCACCAAAACATAATATATGTAAATATATCAACAATAGATAAATATAAATTACAGTCCCCTATTACACACACAATTAAATCAAAATGAATCTGCACTCTCCACCCACCTGTCTGATTATAGCAGCCAACACCCTTAGCTATATAACTTCCCACAGCTAGTTTGAAATTGAAATAGTGCAGAACTAAATACAGCATATGTATATAAATTCATCAAAATTCATGCATCGAAAACAGCTATTAACGTTTTGGGACACCCCTCCAAATCATTGGATTCAGGTGTTCCAATCACCTCCATGGCCACAGGTATAGAAAATCAAGCACCTAGACATACAGACTGCCTCTACAAACAGTTGTGAAAGAATGGGTCGCTCTCAGGAGCTCAGTGAATTCAAGCGTGGTACTGTGGTAGGTTGCCACCTGTGCAATAAGTCCATCCGTGAAATTTCTTTGCTACAAAATATTCCACGGTCAGCTGTTAGTGGTATTATAACAAAATGGAAGCAACTGGGAACAACAGCAACTCAGCCACAGAGTGACAGTGCAGGGTCAGTGCATGCTGAAGCGCACAGTGTGCAGAAGTCGCCGACTGTCTGCAGAGTCAAAAGCTAAAGACCTCCAAACTTCATGTGGCCTTCAGATTAGCACAACAACAGTGTGTAGAGAGCTTCATGGAATGGGTGTCCATGGCTGAACAGCTGCATCCAAGCCTTACATCACCAAGTGCAATGCAAAGAGTTGGATGCAGTGGTGTAAAGCACACCGCCACTGGACTCTAGAGCAGTGGAGACATGTTCTCTGTCTGGCAATCTGATAGATGTGTCTGAAAACCATTGCCAGACCCAAAAGTCCCCAAAGTCTCCTTTAAATCCTTTAAAGGCTACATTCACCTTTTTTTTTCTAAACTCCAGCTCCCCTATGTACCAATATACCATGAATGTACCTTGGTTGCAGAAAAATAAAAGCTTTCTTTGATTTTGAGACATCAGTAGTATGTAACTCACCGTGCAGAGGTCAAGAGTAAGTAACACCGAGGTCAGTAATATGTAACATACTGTGCAGAGATCAGGAATAAGTCATGCAGAGTGCAATAGTATGTAATGCATACAATAAAGGGGTCAGGATGTCTGGGTGGAATGTTTCTTTC